CAACAATAAAATTGCTCATGGATATTTTACTCTAGAGCCTGTGTGCTCATGTTTGCCCCGTGTGGCATTTGGTTTTAAACTATATTTTCCGTTGCGTATTGAATTGCTTATTATGTTTGTTTATGGATGACTTATGTGTAAATGATATTCATGATGCCTTGTATAATTTGGATAAGCTTGACTGGTGGTTGACTTATCTAAATTGTACGACAGTTGTTAGCGTATCCGGTGAGGTTCAGGGCGTGACAATATCGAATCTATGCGATTCCACTTCCACAACTATCCAACATTAAAGAATGAATAATAAACATGTAACATAGCATGTGATGAATACCTTTTGTAATTTCACCACCATAGCGCCGATGGAATCACATCCACTCCAACACCATACCACCGCCTTCCTCACCATGGAGTCTAAGCTAACATCCCATTCCTCTTGAGCGATAACTCCTACCCCTACATGTACGAGCATACCGCCCCAGTCATGCATCCCCCAGCCCCACCATAGGCTACCTCTTCGCCCCAGGTAAGCAAACATGAATTAGAAGCGTTTGTTTCCCATAACCAGAAGAAGAAACGCGCAGTACAACCGCAATGATCGAAATGCAATCATACAGGATTAACCGCTAAACGAAAGATCCTCAACTCGCCGAACCTGAAAATCAGAACATCCCTATTCCTAGGGTGTCGCGCTTGTTCAACCAAACCAAACCCTAGACTTAGATGTTAGACCATTCCGCTCAGACTTCTATTGTATTTTAATACTCTGCAACTATTAATAATATTTAAATAAGTTTTATTTAATCTCTACAATCTAATAAGGCTGAATGAAGGTTAGAGTATTTTGGGTATAAAAAATTTGTTGGTTGTAATTGTAAGCTTAATTGACATGTACACCATGTTTAAATGTTTGTACACTTTTAATTTAACATAGCTTCTCTCCCTACCGCCAGTTTGTCTCCGTTAATATTCCCAAGGGTTGTGTAAGCACATTCGCTTCGTCTCAGTTTGTCTCCGCATCAAATCTTGTCGCTTTGTCTTTAGTCCGTCGCACATCCCCGTGGCTCGCATCTTTTGTCTTCTTAAGCGTCTCTCGCTCTGTAAGTTTTGTTTTTTATTTGTTTAAATGTTCATTACTCTAGAATTCACGAAGCTGTCTTTTAAGCTGTTTTGATAAATTTTATGCCGATAATAGGACTTTAGATGCCAAGAGGACATGATATTATGAGGTTTATTTGATGGTTACTGTCCTTGGGGACATTTTGCGGCAAAGTTGGTTCGAGAATCAATGCCATAAACCCTGCTTTGCAATTGCTAAGTAAGTTTAACATATGGAAGAACTCTTACAGTCTTACCTAAAGGCTTGTGCAACTGTAGATCATGAACTGAGGCACCACCCTGGAATTCATTCTATAGTGGAATGACTGCCTTAATTGTTGTCAGACAGGTCATTCCTCAAATTCTTGAAAGCCATACATTTTCTTGTTGTCTATGATGAAGTGCAAATTATCTTACTAGCCGCCATGTCAGAAATTATTTCCATTGCCAAAATGGGCTTTGTTAGAATCACCTCACAATGAGTTGATAAGACTTTGAGTTGAACTTTCTAATAGATTATACACTCAATCTTTTAGTGTCATTTGGTCCAAGCGCCTTATGACCGAATGAGTATTTTGAATTTCATGGAGGGTGATAAAATCTCACATCACAAAATTAAAGATCGAGAGAATAATGATTAATAAGACTTTGAATTGAAAAATTAAAGAGTAATGGGTTAATGAAACGTTTATTTGAACAAGCTAACCGATTAGATTTAATCTTTTAGTATAGTTTGGCTTCAACAACTTATGACCTCATTTGATCTTGATTGTATGAGGCTTTGATTCACTTGATGGATTAAGTAGCTAACTCAATATCAACATAATAACAAAAAACTATGTGCATGGCTACGGTTCATTTTGAGTATGAGACTAAATTTAAAAAATCAGATTATTTTCTTTCACTTTATATGTGTAAGGCTCCGTAAATTTTGTGCTACATGAAATCCATAATATAGTAGTTGCATATAGTCCCTTGTACAATTTTATCCTTGCTTGTAATGAATTGCTTTATAGCCCCTTCTGCATATTGATTTTGGTAATGAATTGTGGCACTTCATGGAAAATCTGAAAAACTGGCAGGTATTATGTCTTTACTCAGAAAATTGCAAATAGCTTTGCAGAATTGATTTTTCAGACTAAATAAATTGAACTCCATGTTCTTGCTCCCACCCCTTGGTATCTTGACCTCACAGTATTGAGGTTTATAAATTTGTAACTTTGTAGGGAGAAGAGATTTTTAGTGCTAATGTTGGAGATTCCTGTGTTACGTTGCATAGGCTACCAGTGATGTTGGAAACGTTGTGGCAGTTCAGCTCACGGTTGATTTTAAGCCTAATCCGTAAGTCTCTCGCTCTCCCTCTCCCACCTTGCCGCCTTCCTTTCTAACTATGTAAGTGTTCTCATTTAAAAAAGAATATAACCTAGAATTCTATCTTAAAGGTCAAACGTATATGGGGAGTCATCTGACTATCTGAGTTATTTATAATGTGGTTTGGCTTTTGTATTTGGCTTATGTGAACTGACTTAACACATTATCATCATATGTGGAGTTATTTATAATGTGGTTTTGCTCTTTCTATGAACCCGGGGTGCATTGAGTCTGGCTACGCATTGAGGAATTCCCAGGCCTTGCAATGTCTGGAGCCTTTGGCGACCCACTGTGTGAAGCATTTTGAACTCATTTATATGCCTGATGTGACACGAAGGCATATTAACAAACACAGACCAATTTGTGATTTTTGCAATATACGGGGTTGGGGTGTTTGATTTCCTCCTTCCCTGTTTCGAATCTCGTGATGTTTTGGATTTAACATCGTTTTTATTGGCAGTTATGTAACATAAACTTAGAACCTTCTTCCACTTGTAGTATATATATTTGATTTTTTCTCTTTTTCTCCTATAACACAATGTAGCTTTGGGGGCTCATTTTTAATTTTGACACGGTAGCTAGAGAATCAAAAGTGTTATTGTCACATTTTATAGGACAATAAGTTTGTGATAATATTGAAATACTAAAGTGTCTCTCTTTCAAGATTCAATTGCAATAGCATCTCCATCCATGATCTTCAAATATTCAATTTTTTTTTATGTTTTTCTCTTATGTCATTGCCACATATATAACATCAAAATTTATTAATTCCCCTTAACCATGATCTCTATTTATTTAGTTTTATGGAGTTTTTTTTGTTATTTTCAAAGAGGTATTTTAGCCATTCCAAATAAAAAGACATAGTTGCATTAAATGTGTTTGTTGAAACTTGGGAATAATCTTGAATAATTTAAAATTTGATACCATATTTTTAGCTAAATAATCTTTGAAAACAATATCATCTTCCCAACTATAATTTCAAAAAAGATCTTCCACATCATTAAAATGGTCCCAAAAAAATCTCATAAATGTGGCTGCCCTAAGGGTAAAGTGGATAAATGTTATGACAAGTATCAAAATGGTCATTGAAATAATAGTCATTTGTACGTAAAGTGGGTACGTAAAGTGGGAAAAAAATAGATTGAATTACCTAAATAGGTGTAAAAATGACCAAAATTCACAAATTGGATTGATTGCTTGAAAATGCCAAAATAGGAGTTTTTTCTGATTGGACAAAAATGCCCCTACCACAACCTACCACTACGGTGGCCGGCCGGCGCCGCCACCTCCCAGTTAAGTTGAAGAGATTTCCTTGATACAATTATATATCTATTTCCATGATACAATGTTAGGTTTGCTTCATCCCATTTTAAAAAAATTAAAGAACACTAATGCAATCATGATATTTCACCTCATTCATTTTACGAATTCAATTTCAAAAGTTTTTCTAAACATGAAATTCAAGATGTACAAACATTATCATATTACACATGAACAAATTAATCGACTTATTATACAATTGCACTTGCTCAATATTTCTTCAAAATAAAAAAAATAAACCCTACTACATATTGCACATTTTTCCTCTTACAAAAAAACAAAAAACATTGGGCACCATTTCCATCGCGCAACGCGCGTTGCGCTAACTAGTATGGAGTAATAAATCTCAAAATGAAACAAGTTATCCATATAGTCGCTCCTCCCTAGCGGCTTAGCCATCGCGTAGGGTTTTGTCTCCCTAGTGGCTTTGCCGTCGCGTAGGGTTTTCAATCCGCCAATTGTTTGTGCGGCTTTTCTTCTTTAGGTTTCGAGAGTGCTTTTGATTGTTGGTTCTAGTTTTGGGATTTAGGAGGCGTGAGTGCGACTCCAGCTTTTATGGATGATATATAGCAGCGTTGTCTCTATCATGCAATTGAGGAGGAGGTCGAAGGGTTAGTTTCTGGCGAATCAACATGGATAGAGGGCGGTGGTGGCATTGGAGGCGGAACGAGCGGCCAGAAGACGGGGATAAGTGAAGGGTTGAGCAAGAGAGAAGACAGATCGACGGTCTGCCCCCCCCCCCCCCCCACCTGAACCCCGCCTTGGGGCAATCGAGGGGCTAGGTTTTGGAAGATTTATTAGTTATTTAATTTTTCATGGTTTTATTTCTGCGTTATGTTTTGTGTTGCTCTGTTTTTGTTGATGTTTTTAATTTTAGGTCTATAATAATGATTGACAATTTTGCTAAATATTATTGTGTCACATTGCTGGGTCACACCCTTTTGGTGGTTAGCGATTCGTATTGCTCTTACATGTGTGATCGTCTCTGAGTTTAGCCGCATGGTTGATAGTGCTTGTTGGTTAGGGATAGTTATTGTTAATGTTGGCCTTTTTGAGTTTGTTGTAATGATCTGATTTCTAATGATATTAATATAAACGTTTTGTTTTGATGATTAAAAAAAATCTCAAAATGAAACAATTCTTCTCTATCTCTCAAGTCTTAACATTCTCTTCATCCTTCAGGGAACAACTTATGAATTATTATGACATAATGAGCGGTTAACCGCAATTTCTTTATTTTTGGAGGAAAATGCAAAAATTCTAAATAAGAAAATTCAGATGCAAAATCGCGAGACCATGGATTTGGTCTCCATTCTCAGCTTTCTCTGCAATAACCGATTAATCCACCGGCTCAACAAACGTCATTTGCCGGTGGTTGATCGGAAAACCACCCTTTTAATTTTCTTCTTTCCAATTCAATCGATATAATATCTACAAATTTTCTTTCAAAATCATCTCAGCCGGAACAGTCTGCGAAGTTACAATTTGAGCTTTGAGCAATGGCTTCGCTATCGGCAATAAGCGTAGAGCTGGCAGAAATAGAGGGACATATTTCGGATAAATTTCGAGCTCTCTCGTAAATAAATTTGTGTTTTAATTTGTATTATGTAATATGCATGCTCAACTAGTATTCGGGAATTGAGCAAAAGTCATTTCCATATAAAATTATAAATGCTAAATTCGTAGCTTATTTAAAATATTTATTCAGACATTTATTATTATAATTCTTGTAATACAGGAATGGGTTTCAGAAATTGGAGAAGATTAAGGACACCAATAGGCAGAGCAGGCAGCTGGAGGATCTTACTAATGATATGCGAGAATGTAAAAGGTACTCCATTCGTTGCAAACTTTGCCATTTGTGTTTCCAAGTAACTTACATAAAAAAGTGTTCGCCGATTTGAAAGTGACAAAATGAAATCGTTAAGATTTTGTTTTTGTTTTTCAAAACTTTGAATTTATCCTAAATCAAAATCATTACATCCATGATCCTTTCCATTTTATCTGTCCAGGTTAATGGGGGTGTTTGGTTAGCAGCCTATCGGCCATTTTTTGGCTGATTTGACTAATATTTGGCATTTTGACCAGATTAATGAGCTAACAAAGTGTTTGGTTAAATAGCTTTTTCATTTGGCTTTTTATTCCAAACAGCCAAATTCCCAAAAGCTACGGAACCCAGCGTTTCATGGGTGGCGTTTTCTCATCTTTCCGTATTTTCCTTTATTACCCACTGCCTATATCCTTCTTTTCGCTGCTTCCTCCCACAGGCCACACCCGATTAATTAACTTGCCGGTCAAAGATTATTAAAAAAACTTTCCGGTCAAAGAGAAAACAACAATAAGAGAGCAAGTGTGCATGATCTTTTTTTATAGCTTTTTCTTCAGTTTTGCTTCGTCTTATTATCACTTATGGCACGACATGTCCATTGAAGAAAAGGTATTGGAAGTTTTGTTATAAAATACTGATTAATACGTACTATGTACTTAATAATAATAACAACAACAACAACAATTGGTGTAAAGTAAATTTTATATTTTTTGAACCATAAAACGGTTTAGGCAATTATATACTCGTATGAAGCATTAACTAAAAATCTATTAATGTCCTTAATAGTCATTTAACAAGTTATCAGCTGATTGTAAACAACCATTTAACCAAACATGATTTTAGGAACTGACAATACTATCAGCTAATCAAAACAGCCAACAGAACCCGCTGTTATAAATCAGCCAACCGGCAACAGCTAACAGCCAATTGCCAAACACCTGCTCAAACCATTCATTCTTTCTCTTCATTTACTATATTTACAAATTTCTTATATTTTTAAAATTTCATTTGTATGTTTAATATTCTCTCTGGTCCTTATTATAAGGCACAATTGATCAAATTAGAGGACCCAATTGAAGTAGGTATTATTTTTAAATTCATAAAGAATATGATATTTTACTCTTACCTTCTTTTACTATGACTCTAAATAAATACTTTTAAATGGTAAACATGAAGACGTTATTATCAATAGAAAAATATCAATTAAGGCCTTATAAAAAGGCTTCTTTTAAAAGGTGTACGCCTAAAATATTAAATAAAATAAGATTTAAGTATAATAAAAATATACTCCGTAATTACTTATTTCCTGTATCATTGCATGAGAGTCATATTGTAGGGCAGAAAAAACGAAACGGAAATAAAGAAGTTCAAGGGTTCATTGTAAACGAGTTCAGCACTATATATTTGCATGTCCCTAATACTATAGAAGTAGTATGTTGTGATTAAGTAGTTTGTATCTCTGTTATACTGCAATTTGGGATTTAGGCTTTCTAAGAGGCAGATGCAACACAACATTACTTTTTGAGGTAGCATGGTGCAGATAAACACTTCAGAAAATTTGATTGATAGTGAGTGACGACTCAATGTGATCTTTATGATCTTCGTAGGTATGCTTAGTTCAATGAGTCATTCATGAACTATGTATTTGAGGTTGTGTAAGGTCTGTGATAGTTCATTGTTGATGGATTAAACAATTGCATCAAGTATTGGCCGGTTATACTCTGTTTTATGTGTGTTCATGCACTGCAATACATAATCTAATTTGCACTAATGGTGTTTTACCTTGACAGGCTTATTAAAGACTTTGATACAGAAGTAAAGGATTTAAAGTTTCGGAATGATGCCGAGACAAACAAGATTCTAACTGAGAAAAAGCAATATATGGTGTGCAGACATTTTAAAATATTTATTTTGGCTTAGTATCCCCATTTTGTCTTTTTCTCCACCCCAAACTGATTCCGTATCTGCAGATCAAAGAGTTGAACTCATATGTTGCTATGAAAAAAAAGTATGTCCTTTTTGCTTACATCATTGGGTGTCCTTTATTATTCATTCCTTTTTTTTATAGTATTACATTTATGTATGCCACCATGCCTTTTGACTTGTACATCTCTCTAGAAAACATTCCTTTCCAAAAATGAGAAGCAGGGCCGGCCCTGTGCACAAGCTGCTCAAACAATTGCATCGGGCCACACAATTTTGAAAAAAAGAGGCCACAATTATATGGCATGGTATATGTATATGTGCATTGTTTTGACTAAGGTTAATTCAACTGGATCAAAAAGTGTAGATTATGTGTATTAGTAGATATGTGTGTCATACATATGCTATCGTCATCTTTCTATATTAATTTTATTAGAAAAAATTGATATTAATAATCCCAATTATTGGCGGTCCGCTCATAATAATCCCAACTATTGATTATTTCAGAACAATCCCAACTTTAGGGACTGTCCGCCAATAATGGTCCGACGTGACCGGTTATAAATACATTCTTATAGTTTCTAAAGTGGATGAGTAGAGATATACGGAGTAACAGGTAATCCCTATAAATAATCCCAATTTTTAATTTTTACGCTTAATTTCTATTTAAATTCACCTCTTATAACAGGTAATATCCGGTCATGGACCATTATTGGCGGATGGTCCATATAGTTGGGATTATACAAAAATAATCAATAGTTGGGATTATTGTTAGCGGATTAGCAATAGTTGGGATTATTATTTTCAATTTTTCCTAAAATTAATTCCGACTATTGCTGATCTGCTAATAATAATCCCAACTATTACTGATCCGCTAACAATAATCTAATGTTAAATCAATTAATTCCTTAAAATAGAATAAAGGCTACACTATATTTATCACATGAGCCTCCATATTTTTGGGACCAGTCCTTTTGAGAATTGTCACTATTGTATAATGTACTAAAATATTGTATAGTTAGCAAACCAATCTTATGAAGTTTAAAGACATCGTCAAACTGTTTCGAAGAACATTATGCATCATAATCTCAGTTTGAGAACAATTAATAGAGAACTGAAACAAAAAAGCAGTGAACAACAAAGTAGGGATGCCAATCATTCTATATTTTCTAGTTTTGTGTTCCCACTTTATTTTTCACTCTTTTTTCCGTTTTCTGCGAATCTGTGATGATGTTACAGATATGCAACCAATCTTGAAAATAGGCGTGTAGATCTCTTTGAAGACCCTGCAGAAGCTTCTACTGAAGAAAATGTCTTGCTAGCTTCAGGTATGCGTACTCGACATTCTCTTTGTCAGTGTCTTGAACTGTCACCGTTTGGTCATGTATGTATATTTTTGCGTGATTCCCATATAATATTTTCCTTTTATGGGCATTGTGTTTGAATACATTCATAATGTATAATCATGTGAATATCTACTTTATCCCTTTCTACATTTTACTATAGCTGATTCATGAAGGTTGTATGGGTTATTAGCTCTCTCTATAGTCCACTTCACTACCAAAGAAACAAGTCACTTTAAGTATTTTTTTCTGACTTATTCTCTTCAAATGTGCTCTAAAAACTGAAGTTTAATGGCCAGTTAAAATTAAGTAACCTCGCTTTCTATATACAAATATCTAATTAAAAGCTTAATAATGCAGCTTTGACTAAACAACAGCTAATAGATCACGGGAATCAAATGATGGACGAGACAGATCAGGCCATAGATAGAGCACAAAAGGTTCTCATTCAATTCTGTCATTAACAAACCAATTTAGTGTAATTGGTTTGTTAGAGCACACTGAGTTGCATATAATTGATTTTTTTAAGTGTAATTGCTTGGCTGTTACGAATTTAAGACAACTCTTTTGTTGATAAAGAGGATTAATTCTGCCGCGAAAAGCGAGTCATGTTTCAAACTTTCAACACTTCCCCCTAAAAGAAGAAATATTGAGTATATTTCAAACCAAGAAGCAAATTTGATTGAATTTAATGTACTCTTTCCAAAAGAAAGTGTTCCACACTAGTTAAGTATGCCAAATTTAGTTTACAAAGAAACAATATTAACATTACAACTATAATTTATAATTTGCAAGAGTTGTACCTCACACTAAAGCTAAAACTTACATAAATAAGATTCTCCTTTACTGGACACTGATAGTTCATCTTCTTTTATCTGTCACTAACAAACCAAATTAGTGTAGAGTTAGTCTCTCCAGCCAGTGATACTAAGATAGTCTTCTTGGGGATTTCTAAATGAGCACATTGGGTTGTAGATAATTGATTTTTTTTGAAGTGTAATTGCTCGGCTGTTAAGAATTTAAGACAACTCTTTTTTTGATAAAGAAGATTAGATCTGCCGCCTAAAGCGAGCCCTGTTTCAAACTTTCAACACTCCCCCCCCCCAAAAAAAGAAATATTGAGTATATTTCAAACCAAGAAGCCAATTTGATTGAATTTAATGCACTCTTTCCACACTAGTTCAGTATGCCAAATTTAGTTTACAAAGAAAAAATATTAACATTATAACTATAATTTATAATTTGCAAGAGTTGTACCTCACACTAAAGTTAAAACTTACATAAATAAGATTCTCCTTTATTGGACACCGATAGTTCATCTTCTTTTATCAAATGTTCTTTTAATGACTTGTGTCTTTTGAGTTGATCTTTAGTCTTACTAAAGCATGACTGTCCACGTGCAATGTTGTTACAGGTGGTCCAGGAGACTATTAATGTTGGAACAGAAACTGCGGCAACACTCAAGGAGCAGGTGACTTTTTACATATCTAATAAAGGAGATTATGTCTATTTAAAAGTTAAATGTCTTAGATGCATTATATGTTTCCTTTCTCTAACCCATTTCTTGTATCCAGACAGAACAAATGAGTAGAATTGTTAATGAGCTGGACACGATTGACTTCTCTATCAAGAAGGCTTCCAAGCTTGTCAAGGAACTTGGTAGGCAGGTCAACGACTCAAATTTTCAGATGATCCCTCTAGTGTTGTGTGTGTGTAGAATCCTGCTTAGGCACTAAGGCACCCGACATTGGGAATACTCCCTTAACATATCCACTACCACATTGGGAATACTCCCTTAAAGTACTTACCCCCCTTAACATCCCCTTAGCGTGACCCTTATCCATCCTCTTACCATACCTACCCCTCAAGGGTATGTTTTCAGTTCTTAGAGGTTAGATTTTGTTAAAGTCTAAGGTGCTAGATGGTGGGTTTTGGAGGATTTCTGATATGTGTGTCCTAGGTATTTTTTGTATGGAACCTATTGAAACCTACCCATATATACCCCCCATCCCATAAAGATTTTTCATATTTTCTTTTTGGTCGATGATATTCAATTTTAACCAATGTTCTCAACACATATATTTTACTGAAAATTATACATCTTATAGGTCTATGAGAGTATGTTTAACATTTTTATATATATTACTTTCAGACTATAAATTGTTTTGTGTAAAAGTATATTGTGGATCAAGATTTAACATCTTTGATAAATAAAAAGTCAAAACCGGCAAACCCTATAAGAGATGGGAGTACTTACAAACATGCATGCATGCATGATGCATGCACACATGAATTTGTATATTCTCTTGCTGTTCTCTTGTGCTGACTTGAACTTCTTTAATTAGGTTGCAACTGACCGTTGTATTATGTCAATGCTTTTCATGATTGTGCTGGGGGTCATCGCAATAATTATTGTGAAGGTAGGTGGTTGCTTTCCTCTTTTATTTTTTTTATTGAATACTTCTTAAGTTGTTACAAAAGGAATACTTTTCTTTTGGTCTGGAATTCTTCTAGTACGCTTTGCTTCTCTATAATTCAGGGCTCCAAAAAGAGATTATTATTGGTTAAAAGTGTCATACGCGTAGAGATATTTCTATACATTTTAGGCATCTTATAATCAAGAGGTTTTACCACCCCATATGCTATACCTTACATTCAATTTACTTTTTTCTTTTTAATTTTGCATTCAATGATCTTTGGGGTGAGAAATCAAACGATTAGGAAAATAGTCTTAGCATATACTCCAGGATGTAAACTGATCACATATTGTTGACTAAAATTTAATTCTACTTGTATTATGCGTGGCCATACTCCTACTTCTGTTTCCATTAGCTTTGGTAAGAATAGCCTATAGTTAGAAGATGCATTTAAGTGTGTGACTTAGGTGTGGGCTCAGTTCTAGACTTGCCACCAAGAAGACGTTAGAGTTTCCATGGCTGTCTATGTTTTTTCTCTGAATTAACCCTGCTTAGATGTCTAGTCGTATCTATTTTTATTTTTTTTAAGGAAACCTTTTATTCAATCACATGTCTATCGTATCTTTTTTTAAAGGAAACCTTTTTAGTGTAGTCGTATCTATTGCCGTCTAAATCAAGTCTTAACTCTTAAGCCATACCTACGAGCTGGACCCCATCCGGCAACCCTTCTAGCACGTGGCGCTTTTTAAAACATTGCGTATGATGCACTCTTATGTAAGGAATAAATGTAATTAGATTTTGATGATGCTATAGGATTAGAAAGTTAGAGTACCCCCAAGTCAGATTTTATGTATTAGATTTTTTAATTGTAAGTATTAGTGTAGTCGACGATCAGAGTTGCTCTATTTTGGATCAGATCAGAAGTGCATCAGAACTGCTCGACCAGACTTCCTCTATGAGAACTGCTCCATCAGAGTTCTCTTACCAGAAGTCCATCAGAGTTGCATCATGAGAGTTGCTGATAAGCCTGGACATCTGATAGCCTATGAGAACTACAGATCAGAAGCACTCATCAGCGGACCTATCAGAGTCAGAGTTCAGTCAGAGATCAGAAGACCATCAGAACTCAACTCATCAGATAGCCATCAGAATCCAACATATCAGAAGAACCTGATCAGAGCTCGACGAACACTCAGACGATTTCAAGCAACATCCAACAGCTATGAATTCAACGGGTAAAAACATCCAACGGCTAGAAGACTGTGCATGAAAGGAAAGCATTTAATGCACATTAAATGAGCCTGATACGCTGAAGGATTGATTGCAAATGATTGACCAAGGAATCCGGGAAGATATATTATAAAAATAGAAACCTTCCAAAACGGCGGTCAAGTCAACTGTACGCACATTTAATGCAGTTGTCTCCTCCTCCAACGGGCAGACAACCTCAGTATATAAGCTACAGAAAAACAACTTTGCTACAACTTTTGCTCATCATCATTCAAGCTCTCTTGAGATTCAAATTCTAACAACCTTCAACAAGACAAGCTTACGTTGGGAAGATTCAAACTCCAAATCTCTCATCCCCAACAAACAAGCAAAGTTCATCCTGTTCTTCAACACTTCAAAAACTTCATCAAACATCCTTTGTAACGAAGCAAGTTGGAGGAAAAACTCTGTTTTTCAAAGGATCTTCTGAAAAGAAGGGCGTCCAAGTAACTGCAGTAGTGAAGTGGTGATACTTCCGGGAAGCTGAGTGAAAGGACCAGCCATCAGGACGTGGAATTGCATCCTGGGTGGCAGCTAGACTTGAAGAAGGCGTGGAGAACTTCTTAAGTGCTAGGAACTAAGCTTTGTAACCGATCTACTTCAAAGCTAGTGGAACAGTGGACTAGAGGAACGAGTTGTTCCTTGAACCACTATAAAATATCCAGTGTCATTTACTTTACTGCAATTTTCATTTCTGCACTTAGGATATTAACTGATTAACTCTAAGACTTGGAATCTGTGTTCAGCAGATCTTGTTTTAAGAGTTATCAGAAAGGCATTTGCCTTAGTGTTTCTGAGGCTACCCGGACAGATCAGAATCCGCTGCCAAGGCCAGTTCTGATATCAGAACCAGCCTTTCTCTGTCATCAGAATCAGACCTTCTCTGATAAGTCACTTCGGACTTAGAGAAAATTTGAAAAACCGACCAGTCTATTCACCCCCCCCCTCTAGACTGGTTACCATATTTAACGGGACCAACAAGTGGTATCAGAGCCTCCTTGTTCTTGTAATCTTTTAGGTTACTCTCTGAACAAAGATCCACTTGTTCTTAGCCTCTCTTTATTTATTATAATGGATAATTCTCTTGCAAAGCATCTTATGTTCACAGATCAGAAATATGATGATTGGAAGATCAGAATGAAGGCACATCTATGTGCCCTACATGATGAAATGTGGGAAGTCTTGGAGAATGGACCCTTTATCCAGTTCATGAAGATCAATCCTGCTCACTCCATTGATAACTCTCAGCCCCAGATGATTGAGAAAGCCCGGTCAGAATGGACCAAGGAAGAGAAAAGACAGTATAACCTTGACAACATTGCCAAGGACATTCTCTACAAAGCTATTGATGAAAGATATTTCAATAGAATAAAGAAGTGCAGAACTGCCAAAGAAATCTGGGATAAGCTGGATGAGATTGGAGCAGGAGATGAACAAGAAAGAGACAACAAGCTGACCATTGCAATGAAGAAGTTTGATGACTTCAAACTCCTACCAGAAGAATGCATTGCTAAGATGCATGAGAGATTGCTGATTCTCATCAGTGAGATTTCTGAGCTTGGGAAGGAGCTCACCATCAAAGAGGTCAACATGAAGATCCTCAGGGGACTGCCTTCAGCTTGGAAGATGAAGGTGATTGCAGTCCAGGAAAGCAAGAACATCAAGACTTATGCCACTGAAAGACTCATCTCTGATCTCAAGGCTTATGAGTTTGAGATGCATGAAGAGAAGGAAGAAGTTCCTGATGAGAGGACCACCACTGCTCTCACTGCTAGCACCTCAAAGGTAAGTGACTTTGACCCTTCTACTCTGTTATCTGATGAGTATATGGCTGCTTTTGCCAGAAAGTTTAAGAAGTTTATGAAGAAAGATGGAAGGAGTCCATCTTCCATCAGAAGACCACATCAGAAGACCAAGTCCTCTGAAAGCAATGGAGAGTACCTCTGTTACAACTGCAGACAGCCTGGGCACTTCAAAGCAAACTGCCCCTATCCAAGAGTGTCCAAGAAGCAAGGACGTGAAGATGAAAAGAAACCAGATGATCAACACAGAAGAAGAAGAGCATTTGTCTCAGAACAAGCTGAGAGAGATCCACTCTCTGAATCAGAGTCTAGCTCAGACTCCGACTCTGATGAAGCATTCTGCTGCCTGGATGCAGAAACTAAAGATCTTTGCCTCATGGCACAATCAGATGATGAGGTATGCTCTACTTCTAATTCTATTTCCTCTTCGGTAGGCACAGCCTTAAATGATGATCCAATGTCATCATTCTGGGAAGAGTTCCAAACTATCCAAGCCACTTATTCTTTTGTTAAAGAAGAGAACAGTAGGCTGAAAGTTGATATCTCTGATCTAAGGAAAGAGACTGAGTGTAAACTTAATCTCTTAACTGAGGAAAGAGATAGACTGAAAGCTGAAAATGAGTCTCTTCTGAAAAGAATAAGAGACATTGAGGAACTTGAGAGTAGATATAATAGCCTTCTGAAGATGCAATCTTCCATGAAGAATATTGGTGACTCTCATAACTTCACCTCTGGTCTTGGATATGTTGAACCAGAGTCTGGTGAGCCTTCTGTAAGGCCTAGCACCCGAGTTGCTAAAGCTAAAAAGGTCATAGTGCCACAGACTCTGAGCCCCAATTGCCATGCTAGTACTTCTGGTACTAAAGTTGTTCATGAGAAGGTCATACCAGAGAAACAAACTCTAAAGGCCAAACCAAAACAAAGTTTGAAAACTAATGAACCTGGCAGACACTCTAACAAAAGGAAAAGTTTTCAGAACAATAATAATCAAAGGCCTAACCCTATCAGACAATCTCATGACAATGGTATCAGAAATTGCTATCAGAAAGGCAGATATCAAGAGAAGATTAACTATAGGCAGAAGAGGTTGTCTGGTCAACCTCAGAAGTCTAAAGTTAAGCGCTCCTCTGATCTTGATAGTATATGGGACTTCTTTCCAACAAAGAAGGCTATGCAGAAGTATGCAAACAGAAAGCATGATCCTCACAAGCATCTGCCCAAAGTGAATCATACATCTGTTTACTACAACTACCAGGTGGACAATGGGTATCATCCACCAAGGTTTCAGTTGATGAGACCAAAATGGTACCAACTACCAAGACTGCATTACCCCCCAGGACCCAACATTGCTTGGGTACCTAAATCTTCCTTTTGATCTTGCAGGAACAGTGTGCTGGAGCTATCTCAGAACAAGAATGGTATATTGATAGTGGATGCTCCAGACACATGACAGGTGACAAGAGTTGCCTATCAGAGTTCCAGAAAATCAATGGACCCAGAGTCACTTTCGGTGGAAATGACAAGGAAGGGCAAACAAAAGGAAGAGGGAAGCTGATCAAGAAACAGATAATCATTGAAGATGTCTCATATGTCAAAGGTCTAAAGTTCAACTTGCTGAGTGCTAGCCAATTCTGTGACAAAGGCTACACAGTTGAATTCACCAAGACCCTATGCTATGTCAAGCATGAGACAACCAAAGAAGTGGTTCTTACTGCCAAGAGAAGGAAGAACATCTATGTTGTTGACTGGCAAACAGCAAAAGATGGAACTTGCCTGATAGCTAAGGACAATTCAAAGCTAAGCTGGGACTGGCACAAGAAGCTTAGCCATCTGAATTTCAAAACCATCAACAAACTGGCAAGAGAACACATTGTAGATGGTCTGCCTGACATTGTCTACAAGAAGGAGACCCTCTGCAGTGCTTGCCAAAAA